TGTACCCCAGCACCTTGACGTGCTGCCAGCCTCCCCACAGCTTGTGGCTGCTGAGGCACCAGGAACTGGAGAGATTAGACTCAGCCTTGTTCTGACCACCATGGAGCTGGTTTCTAACCCCACACTTCTCTGCTTCCTGGAGTAGGTGTGTTCCTTCTGCCCCACACATGCCTACTTCTTATCACAGTGCTGAGAACAAGAATCTCAAGTGCTTTGAGGGGAACATGGTTTATCATCACTCCTTGTACATAAGCCAAAAATGAGGCGAGACCAGACAACACAAACGCTCTGGGGCACGGAGCAGAGCAGGGTGTAATCCTCCTGTTCACAGGGAGCTCCTAGTTTGGGTGTAAGCGTCTGCTTTGCATGGGAGTGGTCACCCCCGGGCCTTCTCCAGAGGAGCAGACCCTTGAGGTGGGGCCAAACCCACCCACACTTACCCATGGCAGCGTGGCCAGCCCTCAGACACCTGAGAATGCAGGTCCTGGGTGGATACAGCCCCAAGCTCAGAAGCCACCCAAAGGCCAAGCATGGCACATTCCCATCCCAATAGCCTGCAGGAGGCTGCTTTTTTTTGGGAACTACCACGCTGAACACCTCTACTGACTGTGCATTCAGGGACAAATTACTAGTTCTTCTGGGCCTCGATTTCAGAGGCTTCTTTGCCCAGCCCCGCATGCTGCAGCGAGGGCAGAGGAGCAGGCAGAGCTGCAGGAACACACAGCAGCAGCACCACGGCTGTTCTGCACACCAGGACTGAGCTGCAGCAGCAGAGGCACCCAGCAACCCTGCCAGAGTTTGGACTAGGATAATAGTTTTAATTACAGAAGAAAATTATAATATATTTCACTCTAATAACTATTTTAAAGAACAGACCAAGTGTTAGGGCACAAGGAGACTTAATGAGCACTGCAATTTACAGAGCATAAAGAAAAAACATTTCTCAGGGAAACTTCAGGAACAGAAGCCCCTTGAGCATTGTTAAAGTGATCTCTGCCTCCTCCCTGTCCCCAGGGCATGAGAAACACCTCACCTGCAATTTGATCCTTCTAGGGAAGCTTAAACCTGCACAATCCGTGGCAGCCAAGGCCCCAGACAGGGCAGACACCTTGTGGGGAAGGGGCCTGGGGCTTCTCCTCTCCAGCAGCAGCGGTTTAAGCTGCTCCTGCCTCAGTACCACATCAGTGTCACAAACCTGATGGACATAGCTGCACCAGCATCTCTTTGCAGAGTGCTGCTGCCCCTGCCAGATGGACCCAGAAGTTGGGGTGGGGGTCTGCACCCTCCTGCCCAACAGACAGATCCACAGGTGGGAGGGGAGAGGAATGAAAACTCCCTGAGCATCACCACCTTCAGCTCTGAAATTTATTTAACTACAAACACAAGGGATGGGAGAGCACCAGGTCTGGGCATGCACACACCCCCTGTTTAACAAAAAGGGCAGGAGCTCCAGCTACTGCTTTATTTGAATACAGACATCACCCCAAAAACCAACAAGAACCAGACTTCAGAATTACAATGGTAATGACACAGAACTTACAAAAATATAAATAACCTATTAATAAACTTCAAGAAAAATAACATCCAACATAAAAAATACCATGTATTCTCAGCATTTATTATTTGTTTTTAAAAAGCACCAGAGTCTGCATTGTTAAGCAATCCAGAACACACAGGCCATTTCTCCCTAACATTTGCAGACTCTTCTGAGAAGTGTTCCCAAATCACTAAACCAAGTTTTCTTCAGTATTGCCTGCTTCTGTAAGAGCATATTGAAAGCACAATTCTCATAAGCACCCCGTTTGAGTAAAGCACCCAGGGATAGACTAATTGTTCCTTTTAACAAACACTTAGATAGGATTTAAGTATGTGCCTATTTTAAGTCTATGCTTAAGAGCTTTCCAGAACAGGGTTGGATTTAAACTTATCATAGACATTCCTCTGCAAATCAACTTCCAGACAAGAGTGGTGTAAAAAACAATCACTTGTAAAAAAATAATCCTGCTGCAGAAGAGTGTTTCCATTGTTCAGCCCCAGGTAAAGTTTGCACAGATGCTGAATTATTTGATTTCTTTCCATTCTTTTTTGAGCCATGCCAGCTCCAGCCTACAGGAATTTATTTCCTTTATATACCATGTATTCTGCTGAAAATACTATTAAAAAAGCAAAAAAAGAGGTCAAGTATCAAGTCCATTGGTTCCCAGCTAAAGAAATTCACTGCCCAGGCACTGCTGGTGCTCTCCATGTCCAAACTGCAGCATGATGCCTCACTTTCCAGGCTCTCAGACTCCCAAGGGTTTCAGCAAGGTTTGTGGCCAAAGGGGTCCTGAGAGGGAGTTCAAGGCCACCTGTACAGATTTTTGCCTGTGTTACCATAGTTGACTGTGTCACCATGGCTGGAAGGAGGATGCCCACCATGGACACCAGTGGGGTGGGGAACAGCCCTGGGGGGGTTGGGGGGCTGAAAAGCCCCATCCCACAGTGCTTGTGTGGGTCCAGCCTCCCTGCAGCACCAAACATGGACACTGGCAGCAAGGACACGTATGAATGACATGCATGAGGCTCTGGGGGGGGCTGAGAGCAGGTGAAGCACACTAAAACCACTCCAGCCTGGCACTGCCAGCTCCTGCCCACCCAGGTGGGGCTGGGCAGGGCAGGGGCTGTGGCACAGCACAACCCACCCTATGTGCCACCCCCTCAGCCCCAAGGCAGGGGTCAGGTTTTGACTGTGAAGAATACAGCTCAGACATCAAACAGCTAAACATTCAGTTTTTAAGGTAAATTGTTAAGGGGATGGGATTGATTTCTTTAAAGAAAGGAGAAAAGAAATTCAAAATAATCAATCCAGTGGCCCTGGAGCCCACCCACTGGCCCACCAGAACTGCTCAGCATGCCTTGACAGGGCAAATGCAGCACATGTGTGATTATGTCCTTGATATTCACTGTGTTCAATTGCCCAGCCCTTCCTGCCCATCCCTGGCTCCTGATGCTGCTGTGGGACAGGAGGAGGCTGGCTCTGCTGTCCTGCCTGGCCACCGTCCTGCTGCTCTGGGGACCATGGTGGCACTGATGGCACGTGTACACAGGGACAAGCCACCCAGACCAGCTCCAGCTTCAGAGCCAGAGCTGGCGAGTCAAGCTGCACAAATGCTCTTACTCAGAGGCTGTAGGTGAATTTATCTTAATTCCGAAGTGACTAAGTGTGTCCCACAGAGGGATTAAATATTTATCCGATTTCATTAGGTGATTAATCCAAACACTCCCCCTGCCACAGATAAACCTCAAACAGAAAAGCTCTGGCCCCAGGCTGTGCTTGCTTTAGCAATACTTCTCCTGACTGCTCCGTAAGAGACCAAGAATGTAACAAGAGCCTGACTAACCCCAGCCTAAAATGGGCACAAGGTCTAATACTTCTGGGTCTTGCAGAGTAAAGAGCAACAAAACAACCTTGACTTTGGACGAAACAAACAGTGGGGGAGAGAAAGCTGAAACTGCCTGTGCCTCCCGTTATCTCACCACATCCTGAGGGTGCTCAAGTCTTAACAGCGTTTGATGGGGAAAACAGCAGCAGCAGCTATTAAACCCGTGCTG